CGCGAGAGGTCACGGAAACCTTTCCAATGTAAGTTAAATATTAATAATAATAAGATATTACATATAATTTGGTAGTAAAACAAAGTGCTACACATTTTATTGCTGCAAAGATTAGTATATTTATTTTTGTACAACATTTGCAACTGCTTTCTATCACTTAATTAAAAGCACCACAAATTAAAATTGTCATGTTATAGGGACTATTGAACAGACATTTAGAAGTTGATTTTAAAATGCAAAGTATTGAAAATAATAATAAAACTGTAAACAATTTGCGTTTTTACAACACTATAAGTGTGTCCCATCAGGTAATGAAAAGTTGTACACACACACTTGTGGTCTTCATGCTCACTTGAACACTTGGGCCAAATACAGGAAATACGTCATATAAGTAATCAAGTGGTCAAGTGCAAAGACCACAAGTGTGTGTATTTGGACAAGGCATATATAATGGCACGCATGTGCCCTGCTCACTCCAAGAGGATAGGGATGATCACTTCCATTTGGAAATAGCCCCGTGAACCGTTCGGTACCGATACTCGTATCGGCTCATCCCTACTAAAGTGTGATCATTGATCTTTGGGAATCCATGTTTCATGAGTTCATTAATCATTTCAGATGGCATGTAGAAAAATAATTTCACAATAACAAAACAAACAAAAAAAAGTTCACAGTGATCTTTGTCTTCATGCATCCAGCACTTGGGTGTCATATCATACTTTATATTTCTCTTTCGCGCTGTCACTTAATATACAGATATGCTGAAAGATATAAAGAAAAAGAGAAGGTGTAAATACATCATTCAGATCAGACAAACAAGTAATATACAAAACGGACACAACTTGCACTCAATATACGCCAAGTTATGCAGAGCACACAATTCAATCGGAACAGAACAGGACAAAACACTTACACTCAAATCCCTGAAATATTCATTGTAGTCTAAAGCATAACCCACTAGGAACTTATCAGGGACTTCAAATCCAATATCTAAAAACAAAAGGGAAGAGAAAAATAAAATTGTACTTTGCAGAAAGAAAGCTTTTCTGCATTGTTTTCATTATAATTAAACACATTCCAAATAATGTGAATAAAAATAATTATTATATAATATTAATTATAATCAGGTAATTCATTTAATTCAGGTAACATCTCTAATAAGTCTTCCGCCAGCATGAACTAATTCAGTTGAAAGTCATGCAAGAAATGCAAGTAATTTTACCCAAAAATTTGAATGGCATATATATATATATATGTTTGTTTTTGCATGAAGAAAGTCCAAAACTGTTTGCATTATTCATGATAATTAAGCATATTCCAAAAAAATAGGATTAAAAATAAATAATAAATTATATAATACATTATTCTATGTTATAATTATGTAATATTATTTTCATGACAATTACGCACATTCCAAAAAAGTATTTTGAAAATAAAATTATATAATCATAACCAGCTAATTGGAAATATTAGGGAACAAAAAAGTTATATTTTGCATAAAGAAAGCCCAGAATTTTTCCATTATTTCCATGACAATTAAGCACATGATTTTTTTTCATATAACTAATTACATCATATATTATTCAATATTATTATAAATCTAACTAGAAAAAATATATTATACAATAATAGAATTAAGATGTTATGATGTGATGTTTCATCCTATTCAAAAGCAGGTTCATCTCATTGTAACATTTTTAATGGTGAATGTATTTATATTTTGTTGGTGGTTGGTTGCATTATTATTTGCATTCGAGCAGAGCTCATGGTCCCCTGTAGAGGACATTACTGGGCCGCCCTCGGTAGTGCGTCACTGCTAAACAGCTAAATGATTCTCCATCCTCTTGATAACGGACTCGAAGCACTTCGGCGCTCAGCTTTAGAGTGCAAGTCAAGAGCACATTTGTGCTTGGAGGATAGACGGACGGATGGATATAAAGAGCTTATCAGCTTTCTGTCTAAAAGCATTGCATAACTACTCTGAACACAGACAGATGAATAATACATCCAACTACATAAATGCAGGGTGTTTGATTTCTCTAAGTGATGCGGATTAAGCACAAAATATTCTTAATATCCAATCAAATCCAAAGATGAGCAACATGAAGGAACTCACAGTCTGGACGATATCCTGAGCTCCTGGGTGTCCTTTTCACAAGTAAACTGAAATTACATGACATTAAATATTGTGAGATATATATATATATATATATATATATATATATATATA